ACAGTGGTTAGACAAAGAAAAAGGCACCTCCGGGGCGAGTGTATCAGATATCTGATGTTCTCTCGGAGGGTTGATTCGAGCGTGAGTCCGAAACGTCAGCGGTCGCATCTGTCCCCCTAGGGAGGGCCCGGTTTGTCCGAACACGCTGTGGGCTGGCTCCGACCTTTGCCTTCCAGTGTCTGCAACTACCATTCAAGTGTAGTTACTGAGCTTGAGGCAATGATGCCGGTGCTTGTGTTTTATGAGAATGACTAGTGTGTTGGCGAACAATTACGGGGCGTCCATTTGCCACCGTGCCTAGTTTCAACTGCTTCTAGGAGCGACAAGTGCAAAGCTGCTGATATGATGATGTTTCAAGTTTTGCTCGTGCTATCTAGATGGGTAAGCCCAGTCTTTCCGGGACGACCTTGAGTAACTCCAGGAAATTCCCTTTACCATGAATAAACTGCAAACTTACCCTTCAAAATCTCTGCTCAAAACTGCGCGCGCCGTATTGTCAGTTGCACCCATCGATTCTCGCCGTCAACGTTTCGTTCCATTCCGGTCGATAATATGCGCGCCCACACACTCGAAGTTGAGACGGCCTAGTTTTTTACGACAAATTCATGAGCTGTATTCGATAGCTCTTACGCGCGTTGAGCGCTGTGCACCTACACATGCGTGCGTGCGTAGGTGCATGCATGCATACATTTGTGTAGACTGATGTGAAGCGACCATGTAACTGGACGTTTGCTGAGACCTGGTCTGGCTTAGGTGTTCGGTCAGTCGAACAAGGGCGAGCGTCCGCGCTGAGTGTTGCACTAATTTCAGAGCTTAGAGGCGTCCCATCAGTGCTTGGTGAAACCCAAAAATGGGCGGCGTTATCGCGTCAGACCTAAAGGTAACCACAAGTACACGTGGCACTCGGGAAGCAAACTGCCTGATCAGCCATTGCGCCCAGTCTAGTCCGTGTGACTCATCCTTGTCATATGCTGGTATTTTGTAGGAGGGGCTTTTGCTTGGAGCCATTAGCCTTCATTAAGTCCACTAGGAATGCACGGACCATAGGCCCTCGATTGTCCAAAATCCAGGTTGAGTCGTCACCCGCTGATTGATGGTTGGATGAGGTGGGTTTGGTAGGGCAAACCTATCCCTATCCCCTCCATAGGTCACATCAATTTGAGTTTCCAGGATGGCGCCGAACGGCGGTGGATGAAACGTCGCTAGATGGTGAGGAGTATTGGCTTTTTTCCACTGCCGCTACGACTTAGAACCTTCCTATAGGTAACCTAGTAGTTTGATCCGTGCCCGGCTATACCTAAAGGTATTTCCACTGGGCAGTTCAGGACTGATTATCGTTCAGGCGTGAGCGCCTGCTTATTTCAAGACCGGCCGTCCCGTTATCCGTCACCAGGTAGCCCTTGGGCAAGTCCCATCTTTCTGGTACTTCTGTATCCCCGGACCCTTGCAACTGGTGTATGATGGGAGAGAGGTAGTAAAGTGCCGTTCCTGTGTAATTTTGCTCCCTTGTTTGAGTTAGTACGGCGTGCCAGTGAACAGAGCCAGCTGGTTGAACGACGCTGTCCTTGGAAATGAGGATCAGGATGCAGTTGCTGGTTAATGTGACCTTAGGGTTAGTTGTTATTGGTGCTTTCCCTAGGTCAGTCACACCACAATGTGTCAGAGTGAGTTGTTTGGACCTTTGTGGCCTGATTTAGAACATACTGGAATATGCGAGTGATCGTGGTGATCGAAGTTCTGGTGGCAGTCGCGACTTACGTTATAATTTTAGTTTCAATTTCTGTGTTTTTCATGTCCATTCTCCTTCACTCCCCTCCCCCCCCGCTTTCTTTTCCAGTCTACTATCAATGGGTACCGTTCGTCTTGGGTCTCCAGTGCATACTCTTCTACGTGCCGCGGCTTGTTTGGCAATTGATATGCCACCACAGCACCGGCTCCGACCTTGAGCATATTATCAAGAAGGCTGTGGAGGCCGTTCACGCCAAGGAGAACGACCGGCCGGGTGTGATGGATGAATTGGCCACCTGGGTGGAACATCTGGTCTTCCAGGTTCGAATCCCATCTTTGCTTGCAGATCGCGCTTTGGTGTGGTTAGTCACCACCACCACCACCAGTCTGATGAGGGTACTAATCAGCTGGGACGCCACCCATGACGAATTCAGATACGCCTGACCATCCAACTTTGTTTTCCATACTAACCTCGAGATGCTTAGGTGTTCATTCACTCTGGGAAGTGCTGTCTGTCGAAAAAAACTTCCTTTCAACAAAGGTAGAGCAACTTTGAAATGCTCTGAAGAAATTTGACTGGGATTGATCATTTTTATCCTACGTTGCACGACCTTAATGCTACATTTCCCACAACAAGAAGGGCCATAGTTTCATCAGTTGTAATCCTCTCTGTTCTTACGGGACTCACTTGTAGGAATCTTTCTGGGTGCAGCTGTACCTTGTGCCATGGGGGTCAGTAGTGGCATATTATCCCGCCATTCTCCTGTCCTTTTAAGCTCGTATCCCACGAGATCGTTCGCAATCCGTTGTGCCAACGCATGACGGGAAAACCTACCTTGCAGTTGCATCTCATTGCCTCGGGTGCAGAAAGAAGCAATGATCAACAACCCGGTTTCATCACACTTCCGATACTGGTATCTTTTACTTGATACGGCTGCGATCATGCCTGATTTAGCCGGCCTCGATGATGTTACAAACTGTACCTCTCCACGTGTGACGTTCCGCGGCAGCAGATCTGGACAGCTCAACCCATTCCGTTCGCCAACGACGGAGACCGAATACCGAAGGTCCAAGAACCACCTCCATGTCTTGACGAACTGTGTCGAGCCAGGTTTTGAACTGACCCCCTCTTCGACGCTTCCAATGGGGCAACGGTGCCGGATCGAGGGCAGTAACACTGAGCTCCTGAAGTGAACGACGAAGAACATGCCCGAACCACCCCAGTTGTCTTTCCTGGATGGCCTGAGCTATCCTTGCGATCTTGTCGCAGCGAGCGCGGACTGTCTCATTTGAGGCGGAGTTGGTGAAATTCTCTCGAAGGATGGTTTTCAAGCAGTGGGGGTCAAATGCATCCAGTTTTCGCTCGTCCTCCACGCGCAAAGCCCAGCATTCACAACCGTAGAGAAGGACAGATGCACGGTACACGCGAATCTTAGTGGCGATGGATAGGTCACTTCGGATCCAAAGGCATTTCCGGAGGCTTGAGAAAACCCAGCGGGCAGCATCAATTCGGGAGACAATGTCGTCCTTACTTTGTCCATTAGGCAGCAGCCTCGCCCCGAGGAATTTAAGACTGTCTACTTCTTCACAGCCATAAATCCCGAGGGGTGCCTTCACCTAGTCAGGGATGCAGCTTGAAAACGCTTTGGTCTTCCCAGCGCTTATGGATAAACTGGCCGATTTAGCGACCTCGTTCACCCGTGACACCATAGACTGCAGATCACTAAAACTTGAAGCAAGTAAGGCGATAATCTCGCATAGTCGAGATCAGCCAGCCGGTGTTCGGGTGTAAACTCAACACCATCACCTTCGCTTAGGGCCCTCCCGAGGATCCAGTCAATAGCGTAGTTGAGCAGAATGGACGACAGGATACAACCCTGTCGAACGCCAGACCGAATACTGAACGGTTGGGAAAGAATGTTGCAGACCAGGACTCTCGCAGTAATGGAACGATAATAGACTTTGATCGTGGCGATGATTTTTGCCGGTACCTCACTTAACGCCATTATCCGCCACAGAGACTCACGGTGTATACGAAACAGTGCTTACTGGGGATTATGCGTTTACTCCCCAGATAGCGCCGCTGTATCATACTCTCGAATCCACTTGTAATGGCGTGGCAGCTTTGAACTTAAATTTATTGTTCTCAGCACTAGCCGTCTCTAAAAGATCAGTTGTTTGACGTCTAGTGTTTTATTCAGACATGTTTGACATTGTTTTTGGACGATTATATCTTAGTATATAGAACTTTCTGTTTAAAAACCAATACAGTAAATAAACTTTGAGACATGCCTAAATGCACTTTCTGACCTCCATGAAATGCAGTGTTTCGAAACGAGGATTTTTGCTGGGTTTCATGAATGGCGACTACCTGACTGGTCGTCCCTGGTTTCCCGCGTCCTCTGCAACCAGCCGTACTGTCAACGCCCCCGGCCGAAAATACGACATGTCGCTTAGTTCATGTCTCAGGTCTCATTGATGCGTAATCGCATCATTAGGCCGAAATTCGATTTGTGTGTCTGCTTTTTTCTCGTCGCAGGCGAATATAAGTCTACTGCGTAACCCTCTAGGCTATCGACCGCATACTCATGTGCATTCTGACTGCGAACGTTCGCCGAGAAGTGTTCATATTTTCTCCTGTGTAGGTGTTAGTTGCAGCTCTGCTGACCAAGATCTGTGCAGCTTCCCATTCCTGCTATTACTTTTCTTGAAGGAGTTTGTGCAGCTATTTGCATACATACATGTATATATAATGCACAATTCCACTGTAACCGGCTCCTTAACTTTACACTAACAGGAACAAAAGCGCGCCATTATGAAGACTGCCGCCTCCGCGGTCTTCTCCCAACGCAAAGAATATGATAAGGCCTACGACTCAACCAGGATGGGCTCCAGCCACCTACTGCGCCGCTTCTCCGTCCCACTTTTCTCACGGCCTCGAGGGAACTACATCTTCTTCGCCTACCTCTCACTTAAACTACTCTATCTGGCTAACGCCGTCGCTCAGATGTTCCTTATGCAGGCCTTTCTAGGCTTCGAGCCAACGACTTTACCCTTCGGTGTGCAGGTATTGGATAATATGTTTAAGGGTCAGGACTGGCAGGTGACCCTCACCTTCCCCAGAGTTGGTTTTTGTCTTGTCAAGATGAAGCAGCTGGGTGTGACGACCAACGCTGTCACCGCACAGTGTGCCCTGCCCGTTAACATGCTCAATGAAAAGATCTACATATTCCTCTGGTGGTGGATCCTGTTGGCTGCCGTGCTCACCGTTTTCAGCCTTCTCTCCTGGCTGCTGCGTTTCTGCTGCACTTCTCGGGAAGCAAACTACGTCCTCAAGTACATCAACCTCGCTGACGACTTGCCACCCTACGATGAACGTGATGCCAGCGACTTTGCGCTCCGTTTCCTGCGACGCGACGGTATGTTTCTGATGCGGATGATTCGCATCAATGCCGGTGACGTGGTCACCGCGGCAATTGTCAATCGTCTCTGGCAGCGCTATCTGTCACGCACTCAACAGGGCCTCCGGGACCCGATGACCAATGTCGTACGTCCAAACCTGGCCTGGACAGCTGGTCTGGAACCGGGTGGTAAGACTGACGACAGTACTATGCGGGTTGGGCATGACGACTGGGACGACAAGCTTGGCAAGGAACGACTTTTTGTTGGAACTGAGCCCTCGGCACCGATGGCTGGAGAAAAGACAATTCCGCGCACTGTCGTATAGCGCGAGGGTGCTGCCGCTCGGCACAAATTCGATGTACTCTCATGCACTCGCCTGTGTGTGTAAATAAACTTGCCACTTTTTTACAGTTTGTACACTTTGTGCCCCCACCCCCTTGTTTCGTTTTCTATCAGTTTTCTACTCTGAATGGAAGCCGCATTTGCTCACATTTTGATATATGTGCGTTAATATCAGCCACTGTGTGCTCTTTTGTTCAATGCAATTTTGAAACTGCAATTTTTTGGTAAAGGACACCCACGCTCGATGATTGAGGCCGACGACCAACTAATTCCGTGTGCCACGTATATTTTTTCCAGTTTGCTCTCTTGGCCGTCCTGTTTATTTTTGCTAAATACTGTATAATAAATGTTTGCCATGTGGATCTGTGATGGTTCGAGCTTGTAATAAGTTCCTTGAGTGAGATCTTGCCGTCAGATGCATTTCACGTGGGTTGCGCCTGACCTTCCTTTTAGGGCATTGGCTGGTTCTTTACCGTTGTGAGTCCAATTGGCGAAATCCGGCATCTTTTACCTCCTTTTACGTGGGGCATTGAGTCTTGTAATCTGAGTCAAACTTTATTAATCCATTGATTGGTTGGCGCTGCCCAGGTATCCTACGACAGAAAGCGTTTCGCCGATCCCGTGTGCTCTCGTATTTATACCATTCGTGTTGCTTCGTTGACATGTAAGGCATCCCATCCTTTCTAATTTGACCGCTGAGTGCGGTAATGGTCCCGTATTTCGAATTTTAGCCAATTGAAATTTCTTACGTTTCATTGTAGATCGCAGTTTTCTCACTTGAAACGGAGCAAAGTTCTATGCATGCCTAGTACAAGTGAGATCAAGTATGATCTCACCGGCCTCGGGGATGTCGCGCTGCATGCGATGGCAGCAGATCTGGAGGACTCGACTCACGCTCTGTGTTTGTACGGGTTGCGTTTAGTCGTGTCTTTGGCTGACTGCCGCCTCAACATAAGCGGTGACGACAACACTGGGTTCATGAGACGGACGCCAATGATACGCCCAAACGAACTTAGTCACTTGTGGGATGGCGAGACATGCCATGGGTATGTGTTCGCGGTGAACGCAAACTGTTCTATCCGAAGTGATGTTTCCATGCTTACGCCCGTGGGCCCTTCTCTGGGAGCAGCGGTCGGTGACCCCTGGTTTCCCTTCCTGTCTTACGTGCAGAAGCTAGCGTCCACAACCTATTAGGAGGGCCAACCTGACGTATAACGGTGCACTCGTATCTTCTTGGTGGTTGGTATGTGCTGCATCTATGCTTCCTTCGAGGGTATCCATTTAAACGGTGCTGAAGTCAGCTTCCTGTTTGGAAACAAGTTCGCCCCGCTACATCCGAAACTCTTTGTGGTCGCTCTCGGGCCTGGTGAGTGCGTTCTCCTAGAGAGCGAAGCAGCCAAAATATTCGGGGTTTTGCTGCGTTGTTTGGATGAATCCACTGCTTTATTGACCCAATGCTTTATTCACCAATGCCACTGCCTTTTTTACGTTCCTATAACTTGACGCCAGCGGGATGATGTTGATGCAGCCGAAAATCTGCAACAACTTCGACATTGTCAAAGCTACCTACCGTTCTTTCGAGATCCAGGCTACTGACGTAGTCCATTTTGATTGCCGACGAGGCGCAGTCCCGTTCGCTAAAACGGGTTTCAGACGATGGGAAGAGGTTGTTTTGGGCACCTGCGACTAAGTCTCTGCAGTCGCCCAGCACGGATTTCACCAGTGGGCGCGTCGGCTACGTAGTCAACGAAGTCCAAAAATATGCCTTTAGGGCACAACTGCTAGAATAGGGTCGGTGGCAGGCATAGTTCGTCGTGCAGCCTTTTGAATTCTTGTTGACAGCGTTTCAGCCAGAATAGTGGACGGTGGTCAGGATTTAATTAGCTTTCATATTGACCCAACTGTGAAAAACTCGGCGCCTCGGTGGGATTCGAACCTACGCAGTAAGAGAAAGGCTTTAGTACAGCCAACGCTCTAACCACTTGAGCTACGAGGCCCCGCCGGACGACTCGAGTTTAATCACATTTGGGTCAAGTTTATCCGTCCAACCTACTGCAACGTCTGGAATCCACCAAATATGATACAGTAAGTTGACTGCCCAAGCAGGATTTCCTAAGTAATTCATCTGGAATCCACCAGATGACTACCAGGCTTACGTAATTCGTAGATGTTTTGGCAGTTTTTGAATAATTCATATTGACCCAACTGTGAAAAACTCGCGTCGTCTGGCGGGGCCTCGTAGCGCAAGTGTTTAAAGCGTTGGCTGTACTAAATCCTTCCCCTTATTGTGTGGGTTCGAATCCCACCGAGACGCCGAGTTTTCCAAAGTTGAGTCAATATGAATTATTCAACTGACTGTGACTTCGTCTTCGAGTCTCCCGCTGTCGGACCAGCATGAGTTCACCAAGTGGGGTTGTCAGCCTCCTCCAGACGTTGACTTGACGGATCCGTTTGAAGTTAGACAGAGTCAAGGGTGTTCGAATGACGACACCAGTTACCGACACCGATGAGGGAGTAGCGCCCATTAGCGACCGATGTGCGTCACTGAGCTGTTACAGCAATAAGAACAATCCGGAGGCTGCGAAAGCTGCCCACTTTTGCGGTTGTATACCACGCAGAATTTGTGCCCACAAGCTACTTGCCGCTGACTGTGAGAGTGAGTCCAACACGTCAGTCCAATAGCATTCTTGTTCTGGCGGTCGATTGTGCTTTCCTCTCCACTAATATCTACGCCTGCTGACTCGCAATTCAACCAAATATGACATCAAGCCAGTGCCAATGCACTCCTTCAACTAACTGTCACGCGGGATGTCCTTCGCACCCCAACATACCGCCGACGGCGTTTTTAACCGCGGATACTGGCGGTATGCAAAAGCCTATTCAGATGAGATATGGAAGGAGGGAGGTGATCGATCAAGTGGTCCACGGAGGTCTCTGTTCTGGGTCATCTCTGGACTTGTGTCCCTTGTTATTTATTAGCTGTCCTGCTTGCTTCGCTTCTGCCATCATCTCTACCGATGGTCCTTTGTATAATTTGAAAAGTTTAGAGACGAAAACGCATTGTTAAAGTACTCGATTTGTGTGTTTTTTCTTACTCTAACAAGTGCCCGCGACACCGACGTATTACTAGCCTAGCCTCTTACCAGTTGCAAATCCGACATTTGTTTTCTTTTTCGTACTTTGCATTTGTACACACAAATATTTCGTTTTCGCACCTTTATTCCGAAGCTTGGGTTTCAGCCGGAAAAAAAAACTGTAAGCGGGGGTCGTCATAAGCTGTGCTTATGAAGTCCGTTAACTCAGGTAGGCTGCGTTGGCGAATAGGGTATTAGCGCTAGCGCACCTCGGGCGTTGAGTCTTGTCCGGGACGCTATCCTTGAACGAAGTTCACCTCCTGAACGTTACATCTTGTCAAGGCTGTCATAAACAAGTGTTCTGAGATGAACTTCGATCACCTGGATTTTTCGTCTTACCGCCTGCCCACTAAGATTAGTGGTAGACCGTTAGAGCGCCGTGTCGCTGAGGCTTGCGATATTTCCTGTTGGGATGCAAGCCTTGAACGCAGTCATGAACTCTGCTCATTCATTGATTTCTGCCCTGCGCTTTGTGTGGGAGAGTGAGGCCGACTCTGGGAGTCCATCCCCCCACAGCAATTCAGTGTATTTATCATCATGCTAGATCTGACGCATTTTAACCCTTTACGATGCGTTAAATGGCGTGGCTCTGAAGACTGCCAATTGACGGGGATAACGCAGTCCTCATGGGCGGCACCGTGTGTGTGCGCGTCTGTACGTGAGGTTACTGGCTTAAGAAGTGAGAGTCAGGCGGAATGGCCTCTATAACACACTCTCGAAAGTGAGATCCGCTATCTGAGTGAAAACCTCATACAGTAGGTGGGCTAACTCATGAAATGACCGCTTATTTAGCATGAATTTATCTCATTGATTTTCGCTGACCCTAAAAGTCCAATTATATTACATGAAAAACATGCATAGAAATATATATTCTTTTGCTCATTCGGCAGACAATTACATCTTCTTCCAATCTTATACTTGATGGAAGGGTGTAATTCGGTTTTCAAAAACTTTTCCCATTCCCGAATACTTTTGAACCCACTCTACCGTTACAATTGGATTCAGGGTTTCCAAACTACAAGTCGTATATTTTCCGCGTACGGAAAACCATACATTTCCCTAAGGTATTAAGAGGATACCATATGGTGTTCATGAAATTTAGCAGTGGATTTCAGCCATATTGTTAACTTTACAAGCCGCATTGGTAAATGCAGAAACATAACGTTTTATGAACGGCCATTTCACGGTATTAAAAAATCGCATAATTAGAAAGTTAAAACTGAATTATACCCTTCCTTCGAGTATAAAATTGGAAGACTTCATTGTCTACCGAATGAGTAAAAAAATAAATAGTTTTATGTATGTTTCCCATGAAATATAATTGAATTTTTAAGGGCATTGAAAATTGATGAGGAAAATGTAAGCCACATAAGTAGTCGTTTTGTATAGAGTATAGATTTTGCATGCAGCCGAAAGGAGATTCATTCTAAAGCCGGCATCCTGTCGCTGACTTGTCAAAGAGCTTGACCGGCTGTCAGTTTTCAAGGCGTTTACTGCCGAAAATTTTAAATAGGTGGCCGAGCTAGTCGGCCTTAGACTGCTCATTTTCTTCTCGCTGTATCAGCCTTTTGGAAGATGTTTGTGGGGCCTGACGGCGTCACGCGTCACCACCTCGATGGGAGGATCCTTGTAATTCGCCTACCATCCGGGTGACTTCGTCGCGGGACTGTGTCTGCTCGAATTTCTCAAGTTCGACGTGACCGCCTTGTTATGGTCTTTACGCATGTAGTGACGCAGGACTTTATACGCCGCAGGATGGGCTATGTGCCTGTTGATAGAGTTGACATCTGAATATCATGTCTCAAGTGTGAGTTGTTCTGTTTTTTTAAGTGACTCGGCCTTCGATGAG